TCTGAAGTCTCATTTTCATTATTCGTAAAAAGGAATTGGGGCATGTGATCCTAAGTTGTTCTACGACTTTAACCTCATGTTAAGCTGCTTAAATTTGTCCCTGCCTCCCCTTGTAGTTGGAAAATGTTTCTCAGTGGTGGAAGAAGCTGGAGCAAAATAGAGCAGTTGAGTGGTTCCGCCTTCTTCCGTCATGTGCTCATAGTACACTATCCCAAAGCTGTGCTTCTCCCTTTCTTTGTTTCTCTTCTTTTTCAAAACATTGTTTCATAAAACAAAAATCTTTTGGGGAGCCTTTAATATGATTTTGAACTTGAGCTTACTTAGGATTTGAGACTTTCATGTCCTGTATTCCATCACTAGAATATGTTTCCTGAGGCTAGGGCCTGTCTGTCTTGTTCACCAATATCCCAGCAGCCTGGCCGATAGTGGACACTCAATAAATATTGTTTAAATACCAAATCCTATGTAATGCCATTTTTTAAAAAAATGAGTTTCAGAGAGGGTGTCCTATATCACATCATTGGTTTCTTTAAATTTCTCTTTCCCCCATCTTTTCTTTGGTATGTTTTATGATTATAGTGTTAAGATTTCCTTTTTAGAAGTGTATCATCCTTCTTGAGCTAGATATTGCATTCTAGGTTGTAAGCCTATGCAGTAGTTATCTATTGCTGCATAATAATATTACCACAAACTTAAGTGGCTTAAAACAATACACGTTTTTATTATCTCTCAGTTCCCATGGGTCTGGAGTCCAGCCACAGTCTAGCTGGGTGATCTGCTTAGAGTCTCACAGGGCTGTGGTCTCATCTGAGGTTCCATCTGCTTCCAGGCTCACTCAAGTTATTGGAAGAATTCAATTTTTTTGTGGTTGTAGGACTGAGGGCCACAGTTGCTTGCTGCCTGTCAGCCAAGGGCCACCCTCTGCTCCTAGGAGCCACCTACAGTTAGTTCTTTGCCATATGGGGGCCTCAACATGGTCTCTGCTTTCTCAAAGCCAGCAAGGGAGGGAAAGTGTCCAGCAGGACAAGTGCAGTGGTCTTATGTAATGTAATCACGTGCACATCATTACATGCATCCCGTGACTTTTGACGTGCACTACTGGTTAGAAGCAAATCACAGGTCCCACAGTCGAGGGAATCACACAAGGGTGTGAATACCAGGAAGTGGGGCTCATGGGGGCCCCCTTAATTAAGAATCTGTCTACCACAGCCTATAAACATTGTTTCTGGACTTAAACAATGAACTTTCTTGAAAAGTATACCTTCTGTGGGCTGGCTGGTTGGCTCAGTTGGTTAGAATGCAGCCTTATGACACCAAGGTCATGGGTTCGGATCCTGTACTGGCCGGCTGCCAAATAAAAAAAGCAAACCTTATGAACAATAAATGCTTTTAATTTTAATTCCCTAACTTGTTCCTGAAGTATTAATGAAACATATTACATTTCAAAAATAATGTTGCCCCAACTCAACTCTGTTCTCTTTCTCTATGCAAATTAAAAATGCTATAGAGTTAGGCTTTGCTTAATTTGTAAAATATACAAATTAAGTATACTGTAAATTATATATGTAGAGATACATGGTACTGTAGTATACACAAAATTATGTTTACTACGCCTAATGGATGATTTAAGCAATTTAAGGATCATCTTCATTTTACATGATTTTTCTCCATACTCACTGATTTTAACCCTAACTGCCTTGTAAGACACAACTCTACTGCATCCTGAAATATTCTACTTCATATTTATACTGCTCATGGCAGTTGCATCCATATCAAGGAGCTTTTGAGAAAAAGTATGTTTGCCTGTTATGACATTATGTCAGATCTACTTGATTATTTTTAATCCAATCTTCTCATACTCTGTCTCTGAGCCTTTCACTTTCCAGGCTACATGTCTAGTTTTTAAGTAATTTATTCTTGTCTTATTATCATGTAATTCATTCTTCTTTATTCCATCTCACTTCCACGTGTCTTCCTTAGAGTGAAACTATTAGGCTTGCAGGCACCTTCCCCAGAGTCATGACTCAGAACAAGGGCTGAGCCCTTGTAGATGACATGTAGATGATGCACTGAAGTATTAGATCTTTACGTTTAGCATGTAATTTATGTTGACTCAATTGATACCAAGTAGATAATAACCTTCTATCTATCATTTTAGGTTTCTGTTCCTGTACTCTTTTTCCTGTCTAGCTTCAAAGCCATTATACCATCTTCCATTTTATCTCCTGCTTCTGAATTCAGAACATCACGTCTTGTGAATTTGGAGATTTCTCTTATTTTTATTAATTTCTTTAAAGGCTAAATTATACCATGTATTATATCCCGATACCAAAATTATATATTTCTTTCAGATAAGAGTTTTTATCTACCTCTTAGTTTCTTGTATTGAATCTATTTCTTCAACCACAACAAAACACTCCTGTACACTCCTGAAAACAAAATTTAAAACGATTTCTCCTGGAGCCTTGACAGTAGCTTTATTTATTCATTTTTTCTTTTGTTTTAATCTAAATAACACCCTCTGGTTCTCAACCAGTTACCTGTAATCAAAACCTTGATTCCCCTTTTGCTAAAACCATATTGCTTCCTCTCAAAAAGAAAAACAAAAAAAATTGGCTAAGTATGCAGGATCCTACCTTTTTCAGTGGAAATGAGGTACATTCACGTTTGGTTTCCCACAGTACAAAGTCCCACTGGCTGATTGCCACAAAACCACTCTACTGGACTTCTAGCATAGTGACTTTAACTCTGCTCACCTAAAACTATTGAAAATATACACATTTCTTGGTTAGATGCTATTTAGGGTCAGTGTCTTTTGAGAGGATAAAGGAAAGGGACATCTGTTTTTCAATTAGGTCTAGAACTGTGCTGCACGATATGGTAGCCACTAGCCACATGTGACTATTGAGCACTGGAAATGTGGCTAGTCTGAATTGAGATGTACTGTACTGTAAGTGTAAAATATATGCCAGATTTGAAAGACTTAGTACAAAAAAAATTCTCAATAATTTTAATATTGATTACATGTTGAAATAATTTTTTTAATATATTGGGTTAAATAACATAATTAATCTTATCTATTTATTTTTACTTTTTTAATATGGCAAAAAATTAAATTACATATATGGCTCATTGTATTTCTGTTGGGTAGCACAGGTTTAGAAACTTTTATACATTTACTAGTATTTGGCAGCCAGGATCTCTGGATTGTCTCCTTCCAAAGGAAATTTGAGAGTAAAATTTTTAAGTTTCTCTAAACAAAAAATTTACTTAGTTCTCCTAAATGGTCCCACTAAGTACTTACATATGTAAACATCAAAGTTAGGAAGCGCATTAAGAACTTCTTAAGTGTATTAAGGGACAAGGTGGGTTAGAGTCCCTTGTAAGGTATTTGTTTGTTTTTGCCTCATTTTTAAAGCTTCATTATATTTGCACAGCTATGTCAAATCTGTTCCGCAAATAACGTTTTGTAGTTAAAAAGCCAGTGTATTAATAGAACAATTGTGGCATTCTGCCACTTTGCAGTAACATATAGTGACTCCTTATCGAAGCTATGAATGATGGAATGTATCAGTATATTCATTCTCTAGTTTGTTTGCATCCTGATGACTGACAGCAAGAAGGGATGACCATTTGTAATTCAGTTAGTAGAATTGGGGACAGGTTTCTATATTTAATATCACCTGACAGTTGATTAGGGGTGACTGTGGAAATTTACATAAATAATTTATATGGATGAAACATCAAAGCAAAAAAAGTATTTTGGGGGAATTCCTAATAGTTTGTGCTGATACCTTTTTTTATCCTCAGGATCCATTTGTAATAGCTTTATTGAGATACAATTCATATGCCACACAATTTACCTTTTTAAAGTGTACAATTTAATGGTTTTTAGTATATTCACAGATTTTTTACAGTCACCATGTAACTTTAGAACATTTTCATCTCCCCAAAGAGAAACCCTATAACTAACTGCCTTCCCCTCCAGACCAAGCAACCACTATTCTATTTTTTGTCTCTATGGATTTGCCTATTCTGGACATTTTATATAAATGGAATCTTGATATATGGTCTTCTGTGCCTGGCTTCTCCACTTTGTATAATGTTTTCAAGGCTCATCCATGTTGTAGCATGTATCAGTACTTCATTCCTTTTCGTGGCCAAATAATATTCTGTTGTGTGCACATACCACATCTTCTCCGTTCATCAGTTGATGGAATTTAGCTGATACTTTTTTAACTTGAAAAATTAATGACGTTTACATTTAGTAAGAACCTTAACCTGTGTTCTCATATTGAACTTCACAGTAGTTTGTTTAGGTAATTTTTGTGGTTACCATCATTTTGTAGGTGAAGAAATGGAGGCTCAGAAAGCCTAAGTAATTTGCCTAAGATTGCATAGCAATTGAGTACTAGAACTGGAACTCAAATCCAGTTTATCTGACTCTGAATCATATATTTTCATCATTATTGCCACAGCTCACTCCCCGTCCCTTGGTGATTTAGTTTTAAAGAGTAATTCCTGAATAGCTAGCTTCTTTGTTACTTTCTTTTTTTTGTTTGTTTGTTTAATTTATTATACTATTAGATACGGGAAATGAAGTTGAAAAAACTTTTAGTGTGGCCTTTCCCAATAACTTTGTGGATAAGATGGGAATGTATTCTAGATAATATACCTCAGTAGCTTAGCAACTGATAGAAAAATTGTACAAGAAGCCAACTGCCCAACAGGTTGATGTCCATGTAGAGGGATAAGTGCAAGGGTATGCTGGAAGGCTCACTTCTTTTCCCTATCCCATGAAAAATTTTTATTAATAGCGCAGATAAAACTATGTTTGTATTAGAAGATCTAGTTTATCATATTTGTAGGAGTCCAAAAGTTGAAATTGGTTGAATTTCATCCATCTGGTAGTATCATACACAGAGAATATGCTCAATAAAAATCTTTTGCAATGATAATATATATTCTGTCCCAGATTATTATTTTTTTTTTTTCCTTAGGGTTCTGTAGCTATAGCTGGTGCTGTTATTCGCTGGCTAAGAGACAATCTTGGAATTATAAAGACCTCAGAGGAAATTGGTGAGTATGTTCTAACAAAGGGTTAAAATCTGAAGAATGAAAAATTTTAACATTTTATCTCTGTAATCTGTAAATGCTTAAGCTCTTTGCCCCAAGTGGGATCCATAAATTATATGGATCCCTATTAGGAGTTTGACTTATCCAAAACAGACTATTTTGTGAAGATTTATCAAACAATGAATTGACATAATTAGTGGTGATTATTAATAAACTGGCAGGGTAGGGCATAAAAATTACCCAAGTATAAAATTGAACACTGGAGATTGCCAGAATTGGCAGGTAAAGTAATCTAGTTAAATTTATCTGATGAGAAAGAGCTTTAACTCCTAGACTAGAGTGAGCAGTAAAACTCTGGTACCTGTAATTTAAGTATTAATATGGTTATTATCAGTCTATGGATAATTAGTTTGAACTCTCCTACTCATTCTTTCATCCACTTGTTCAACTTTGCCTGAAGGCGAGATAATCAGAAATACATGTAGAAGCCATTTCTTCATCTCTTAATCAGCAACCTCAAAAATAGTGGTAACAGGCTAAAATACCTTAAGGAAATGAGTTCAGTTCCTTGATTTCTTGAGTTGGATCACATTTTAGTGGCAGTGTTCAATGTGAGAAAACTTGTTTTTGTTGCTCATAGTAGACCACCATAATTAGGAATATTTTGCTACACCAGTGAAACAGAAACCAAAAGCCCTGTCCTAATTTTAAAATAGGTATGTTTATTCAATAAAGTAAAATACTAGTGTGATTTTTGTTTTTTGTTTTTTTAATGTTAGAAAAACTTGCTAAAGAAGTAGGTACTTCTTATGGCTGCTACTTCGTCCCAGCATTTTCAGGGTTATATGCACCTTATTGGGAGCCCAGTGCAAGAGGGTAAGTATTGAAAATATGGTATGCTTTTTGAGGTCTTGATTTATTTACCAAATTAGTTAATAACTAATTAGCTAATAGTTTCCTATCTGGTTTCAAATGATTTTAAAGTGTTGAGAAAATCTTTTTCTATTTGGAGAGTATAATTCAAAACCTTTAAGCCCCAAGAAGTTATAAATGAGCTGACAATAACCCCTGCCATATCCATATTCAAGTTAATGTTATCTTTTATCTTTTAAATCATCTACAAGTTGTATAGCAAAAGGATATGTTATTGTCATCTATTCAGATGGATCATGAACTTTTTCATATGTGGATGCAGGATTGTGGGCTATAAGGACATTCTGTATTAATGATTATGTCCAGCTTTCTTTCCCTGTACATTGCTGACTACCAAATTCACCCTTTCCATATAGGAGACATTTCAGACTGATGACTCATTAATACCACTCTAATCTATAATCTTTGTATTTATAGGATAATCTGTGGACTCACTCAGTTCACCAATAAATGCCATATTGCTTTCGCTGCATTAGAAGCTGTTTGTTTCCAAACCCGAGAGGTAATAATATGGACCTGTTTTCTTGTACTTAATCCACTTTATCACTCTTAAACAAACTATGTATTAATACCTGAAATTTATTAAATACTAAAAATGTAGTTAATCAAAAATTAAGCCTGCCTAACACTAATCGAACTATAAGTGTTTTCTTCCTTTTGCCAGCTGTCAGTACCTTCTAAGTTTCCATTATCTGCCAGGCACTGGACATTTTACGTTTGCAGCGAGGCTGAGTGGTACATATCAGGCAAAGGAAATAGCACAAACATAGGCATTAAGGCAGGAAACCAGCATGCAAAATAAAGTTGTTTGGCTTGGCTAAACATCAGGGTGAGTGCAGAGGTGGAGTGAGAGAAAGGTTGGCTGTGACCAGATCAAGGAAGGCTTAGAAGACCAGTATAAGAAGTCTCAGTTTTATTCTGTAGGTTTTGGGAAGCTCTTGAGGGTTTTTGAGTGGAGGATTGCCATTTTCGTAGACGTTACTATGAAGCAGTTTCATTATGTTAATTGTGTTGGTTTATTTCAGATTTTGGAAGCCATGAATCGCGACTGTGGAATTCCACTCAGACATTTGCAGGTAGATGGAGGAATGACCAACAACAAAATTCTTATGCAGCTACAAGCAGACATTCTGTATATTCCAGTAGGTTAGTAAGCCTTCATTCCTTTAAACTCTGGGAGTAATTTTTCTTTCGGAAGAACTAGATCTTTAAACACGTGTGCCTGTGAAGATGCTGATGTAGCTCTCTGCCCTCAGTGAAGCCCTCCATGCCGGAAACAACTGCACTGGGTGCTGCGATGGCAGCTGGCGCTGCAGATGGGGTCGCCGTGTGGAGTCTCGACCCTGAGGACTTGTCAGCTGTCACCGTGGAGCGCTTCGAGCCTCAGATCAACGCGGAGGGTACATTTAAAGAATGAAACTTTTAATACGTACTGGGAAAACGACCTTAGTGAAAGGGAGTTTGCTATTCTGTTCACTTAGAAGTTAAAGAACCAAATAGCAAATATTACTGTTTCTGATTCACTACTAAGCATATTGGGCTATAGTGAATAAGTGTGAATGAGAAATAGTTTGTTACAAAAAAAAACTTCTAAAAGCACTTTAAAAAAAAAAAAGCATTCACTTCCACTGTTTGTAGTCCTTTTGTATAGGAGAATAACATGGCCACACTATCAGTTATAGCTTGTTAGAATAGCCATTTTTAAAAGTGAGAAGGAAGATTTATCAGCCATCCACCCCTAATGTCTATACCAGATCATTTTGGGTGCTGATGGCCCAGCTTTACAACGTGATTAGCTGGCCTAAGGGACACTCTGATAACTTTTAATCACAGCAGGACCAGCCTGACAGGGCAGCAGTAATTTAAGTGAATGAGCATTAAATATTTATTCACTATGCTAAGAAACCTAAGCCACAAGCTCTGGTTAACACCTTTATTAAAATATAGTGATGCATCTCTTAAATTGAAGCAAAATGTGAATAAAAAAATAAGGTTTTATATATGAGGGTACTTTAAAAAGTTTGTGGAAAAATGGAATTAAAAAATATATGAATCAGAACTTTTTGAAGACCTGTCGCATTGAATTTGGTTTTATAACTTTTTAGAAACTTATGCATAAAATAGCATCAAAGTTTGGATTTTGAGCTATTGGTGTATAAGCTTTCAAATGCATTTTCATTTAATTTTCTGGGAGACTATGTCAGTGCTTTTTAATTTTTTCATTCTTTTCCATATATAAGAAAATGAATTAGAATACTAGTAATTTGATAGTCAGACAGTATACTATGTACCCTGATGTAGAAATGTGTTTCAAAATCTAATATTCTTCCTGTAATTTTTTAATTTTTGCAATACTGGATAAAATATGATGTTCAAAAAAATTTCTCTACTTCTGAAAAAGTAATCTCCTTTTAATATGCAAGAAATGTTCAGAGCAGGTATACGGCCTCCAAATACTATTCCTACTTGTAAAGCAAGAAAGTTTGTACAAAGGGTGTTAAGGGTTGCTGTTTTCTGAGGAAAGCTGTCATTTAAGACCTTAACCTGGAGTTCATCGATTAGGCCAATTGTCCTCCCTTTCACCAGCCCCTCACCTCTCCCACCACACAGACACAGACACACAGACACAGACACACACACACACACACACACACACACACACAGAGACACACCCCCCCCCACACACACACAGAGACACACACACCCCCACACACCATACCCCTCTCCTCATACTAAATCCACCCATCGCGGCCCCCCTCCCCCCCCACAAAAAGAGAAAACATCAAATAGGATTTCCCTTTCAAATTCATCACCACTTGTTTGTGAAAGGCCCGGTCTGCACAGCAGTTTGTCTCCCAGTCTTCCTTCACCCCACAGACCCATGCCGAATTTCTTCCATCCTACTTTACTCCAGTTTCCAAGCAAGCATCTCTTCCAGTCACTGGCAGGCACCAGCAAACATATGCTCCCAAATCTGAGTCCTGGGAAAGCCCCAGTTTAGCTTAATGCTTGCATCAATTTGTCAAGAATGCTGAGTGATCATAAGTATGGTACTTAGAACATCTCAGCAAATTACTTTCCATATGTATGTTTTTCCTACCTTCTAATTCTAGTCATTTGCAGGTAGATGGAGGAATGACCAACAATAAAATTCTTATGCAGCTACAAGCAGACATTCTGTATATTCCAGTAGTGAAGACCTCCATGCCAGAAACAACTGCACTGGGTGCTGCAATGGCAGCTGGTGCTGCAGAAGGGGTCTGCGTGTGGAGTCTTGAGCCTGAAGACTTGTCAGCTGTCACTGTGGAGCGCTTCGAACCTCAGATCAACGCGGAGGAAAGTGAAATTCGTTATTCTACATGGAAGAAAGCTGTGATGAAGTCAATGGGTTGGGTTACAACTCATACTCCGGAAATTGGTAAAAAATGTTTTTATTGTTTATCATTGCCACCATTTCTTATTATGTTAAATAGATTAAGTATTTCATCATTTACACTTAGCCAAGCTCTGAAGAAAACTCATTATCATTTGTTTAGAATTTCTAACATTTTGAAAACACTTTAAGTTCTAAACAGAAAATGTCAATTATCAGGTTGATATACAGACTTCAACTCTATCCTGCCATATCTTTCCTTATTAGTTTATTCCTGCTACTTCAAATAATAATTTAGTTTTCCAAAAGTAAAATTATTTCTATTCTTAATGAGAAAAAAGTCAACTAAATTTCTCTCTCTCTCTCAATGTCTGTCTTCACCTTTTTGGGGGGCTGTCTTTATGACCTGAACCAAGCCAAACCTATATTAATTTCAGAATATATTCTGCTTCTTCCTAGGATGATTCCAAGTACTTAGGGAATTCCTATGGAATCGGAGAGGAAGAAATGTAGCAAACATAGTAAATTAGAAGTGTCGTAATAGATTGGCAAATGCTCTTGGCAGAAAATAGGACTATTTTATTTTTCAGTGGCTTAGGTAGGAAGGTATTTGGCTTAATGAAACCATTTAGATTTAAACAGCCGTAAGCTGCCTTTAATATGGCATAATATAGTATTATAATTCTTTGCTAAATAAAAGATTTGGAGCATAATGAGTGGAACAATAGCCAATAATATAATGAGGCATATACTTTAATGAAGAAGAGTTTATAAGTGAAATAATACCTGCCTTCTAACCCCAAAGTGAGTATAGAACCAAAACCTTTAATGTATCTGCCTTTTAGGAGAAGCTTCTGTGACCATTCACTACCACAGATCACTGTGATCTGTGTTTTCAGTCCTGGATATTTCTACTTGAAGCTTTTTATTTTTTCTCCTAAATAAGCTTAATATCCTTTTTTGTTTGTTTGTTTTTTAAAAATCTTTTGTTCTGAGACTCGGATTCCTTTTCCAAGATGGTGGCAAAGCTTTTCTAGCTAAGACCGTAATTTTGAGACCCTACGCAATTAAGCTTCTCAGTCCTAAGTATTTGTCCAGGACAGTGCTAGTTGCTGTGTGAGATACAACAGACGAGGGCCGTGGCTTTTCTACTTGCCCTTAATTAATGGCTTATGAGAAGCCGAGTTACATGATTTCTTTCACTAGTTGGATCTATTTATTTATTTATTTATTTTTGGTGGCTGGTCGGTATGGTAATCTGAACCCTTGACCTTAGTGTTATCAACACCGTGCTCTAACCAAGTGAGCTAATCAGCCAGCCCTGTGTTTTTTTAAATGGCACAATCCTCCTGTCTCCTTTCCTCTACTCCTGCACCTTACACACACATACACAGTTCTCCTTACTAGCAGTTGAAGATGTAATTTTAGTTACAAAATTCACACACAACCAACTGATCATTCCCCCTTCTTTTTGTGTACCTTACTATCAATGACTTTAAAACACCAAAAAAAGTTGATAAAACAAAAAAAATTACATGATTTCTTCAGTTTCTGCTATCAGCGTTGACAATGTTTTTTGAATAGATTTATGAAAAACACTAATGTATAATATTTGGGGGTTCTCTGAGCTGTATAATAAACTCAGAGCAATAATAATTAATGAAATGATAATTGTATTCCTTAAAGCAATATAAGCTATATGCTAATAGCAGTACAGATAGAATCCTGTTTTAATAAAGTTGTAAGGGTATTATTAGAATTGCTGCCTGGTATCTTATCCTTTTTAAATTGCTTTAACTTAGGGAAAGAATATTACGTTTGCTTAACTTCCAAAGCAGTTTACCAATTTTGAAGCATTCTTATACTCATTTTTTTGTTAATAACTTTATTTGAATGCATTGAAAATGATTTTTAACATACATTTGATATGTGTTTAAAATGTCGTAGATGTGATTGGGGGTTTGATTTTTTTTTTTTAGAGAGAAGTTTATTATAAAAGATGACTTCTTGGCTTTGGGCTCAAAACTCACCAAAACAACATTTTGAATATAGGTCAAATTGATTTAAATGCATTACATAGCCATCAAATAACAATTATATTTGTACATATATGATATATACATTATATACACACGTACATATATATGTGTATGCACGTATATATGTGTACATATATCATTGAAAGGGAAATACCTTCATTAAATGGATGTCACCTAAATTGATAAGGACTGCTAAATGCAGATAACTTTCAGGACCTTTTTGTCAAACTAGAGCTCACTGTAGGAACATCAGAAAAATCAGTTATTTTAACTTAGCATAACTGATGGGTTGCTCTAAAGGAACTAGGAAATATATTCTTTTCTAAAATCAATTAAAATAAGGTCTCTGCAAATATGGAAACAAAAGGAAACCTAAGAAACCTTGTTTTTTATTTTTTTAAATTTTTTAATTTTTTAAAATAACTTAAGCAGTGGTAGATGAGGAAATGGCTTATGTCCGTCTTTAACAAAAATCTACCTTCTAAGGAAAAAGAAATGCATGTTAAGGGGGAAAAAATACTCTCTCAAAAAAAGCAAAGAAATGACTATTGTCAGTTTACTATATCACAAAATATGCCCACACAGAGAATCTTTAATTAGCTATATTTTAATGAAGCCTCTTTGTCTAATGGTTGTATTTTCTTAACTCTTTGGACATTATTTTTGAATAAACTTAAAGAGTGTTAAATATTCTAGTTATATAATTTTTATTTTTTTATTTTAATTTATTTATTGGGAATCGGGAGGTTACATAGCCAGTACAGGGATAGAACCTCTGAACCTTGGTGTTACTAGCACCATGCTCTAACCAACTGAGCTAACTGGCCAGCCCCAAAATACATAATTTTTAAATTTAAGAAAAGGGTATATATAAAGAATATTGTTTAAAGGAAGGGCTACCAAGAGAATTCAGCTTAGAAAATATCGAAACAAATCACCTTCTCAGGTAATTTTTTATTTTTTATTTATTTTTTTATTTTTTATTTTATTATTTTTTTTTTTTTTTGTCTTTTGTCTTTTTCCGTGTCCGGCAACGGATCGCAACCCTCAGTGTTGCCCCCGTACCGGACCGGGGACCAGCAACGGGATTGCAAC